ATCCCGCTATTCCAACCCCCCACTGTCATGGATTGGATTCCACCTCCTAGTGACCTGTGTAAGGTTTCTGAGGCTGTGAATCTTGGCGGGAGCAGTAAGTCTCACCTTTCTCCCCTATAGAGACTGATGAGTTTGAACTACCAACTTAACAGTTAGCAGTCTGGTGCTCATCCTACAGCGCCACCAAGGCTCCTTGGTGGTGTCCCCTCTACCCCCACCCCAGGGGCCCCTAACCCTGCCCTCTCCTTCCCTCTTAGGCAGACTGGCCTAGCAGCAGCTTCTCAATCCCACATTTCAATAAGCTGCAATTTATTGTCTGCATCCACTGAAGCATGTTATCGGAAGTGCTTGGAAAGGCCTATAAAACCACTTTCCACACCACTGTCCACTCAGCGTTAGGGGGTAGCCATCATGTGAGAGTCACCGCCACCAGAGTTAATCTGGGCATCAGTTCTCATGAGCAAGAAAGATGATATCAACACATGAATCCTGGAAAAGGGTGCAGCTCAAGTTTACACCCAGAAATACCAGGTGCCCTGCTGAGAGGTCCACAGGATGCAATGTGCTTGATTCAAGGGTAGTGTTGCCTGGGTTTTCCAAACCCTGGCTAGTAATTATAATAAAAAGAGCCAGCATTTCCTGCCTGCTTCTCTTGCAGGTACTCACACACACACACACACACACACACACACACACACAGGACTTACTGCCTTCATCTCACTTACCTTTTTGAGCCAGGTACACATTTGCCCCATTTTAGAGCTAGGAACTGATGTTTAAGGACAGTTCAGTAAGCTGCCCAGAGACACAAAGCTATTAAGGTCAGAAGTCAGTGGTTGAAACCTCAGCACCTAACCACTAAGTACATCTACCTCTGCTAAGGTTTCATGGGATTGTAACTATTGAATTCCATCCCCAAACCACTTGGTGTATTATTCAGGTAATGAGTACTGAATAGAGGAAATTTTGGAGTTCCTGAGTTGTATTAATAGTTGGCACCCTCAACTTTTAACTGAAAGGCTAAATGTACCTCAGAAGAAAGACCTGGTGATCAAATTCTGAAAAAGCAGCCATGGAAACTCCTGTAGAGCACAGTGCTGTTCTCACACACCTGGGTTTGCTAGGAATTGGCCTGGATGGTGGCTGTTTGGTTGGCTTACGGGGAGTTTTAATTTTTTAGGAAAGCAAGCAAGCACAAAAACATTGGCAGTCTCCCCTCAGATTACTCAGTGTTTTCCGTATTTGAACTTTAGATTGGGACACTTTCCATAGTGTCATCCTTGTTGTTGTTGTTAAGTGCCATTGAGTCAATTACGACTCATAGCAACCCTGTACAGGGTTCCTGAGGAGCAGCGGATGGGTTTGAACCGTGTACATTATGGTTCACAGTCCAGTGCTTAGAACAAGGTATTTGTTCGAAGGAGCTGCCCTTGATTGGGACTCTGGGCTCTCTCTCTCTCTCTTTTTCTATATTTGATATTCTCTGTGTTTTTTATTATAGCCATTTTAGTGCGTGTGAAGTAATAGGCAATTATGTTTTGATTTGTGTGGTTCTCTAGGATAAAGCACTGGGCCACAAGGTTGGGTTGAACCACTAGGTCGGTGGTTCAAATTCACCAGCCACTCCTCGGAAACCCTATACAGGGTAGCTCTGAGTTGGAACTGACTTGACAACACTTAACAACAACAACAATGACTGATAATATTGAGCAGCTTGTTATGTGTTGCTGATCAGATCATTTTTATATTTTCTTTGGAGAATGTCTATTAAAATCCTTTTCTCATTTTAAAATTGTTTCTGTTTGTTGGTTTGTTATTAAATTGTAAGAGTTCTTTATATATTCTAGATGTAAGTCTATTACCAAATGTTCTTTTATTTATTTTTTTTTTAGTTTTTATTGTGAATTATGTGGTAGTTTACATAGGAGAACATTAGCTGTACATTCATCCTATCGTATATCATTTCATTGCCATGGTTACAAGGCCCTCCATGCATCATCAATCAACCAAAGGTATACCCCGCAAGCCTGCCCATCGGTCGTCAGTACACAGCCCCTCTCCCTCTCTGGGTCTAGAGTCCCCAGCGGCTCCTTCGTTCCACATCTTCCTCTCTGCCTCCGTCTCTGACATCACTGCTTATTTGGGTAGGGTCCCGCACTCTGCTCATCTTCCTTGATGGGCCCAGGGACCTTTGCTCCCAGAGTATAAAGTCAACTACTCCCCTCCTTTTGCTACAAAACGTCGACCTTTACATTTCCAACCCTCACGGTCAGTCCTAATAGCAATTATTCACTATTGTACCACAAGAGTCCTATTCCCATCTCTTTTCATCAGCCCCACCCAGACAGATTGGATACTGCTCAGTGGAGATTCTACCTTCCTCTGCACCCTCTGGATCTAGGCTCCCTCTTGAAAGCTTGTAAGCCAGTCACTTCTTGCCTTTGTAGCCCCTCTGGGATCTCTCTTAGAAGGCTGGAGAAACGGGTAGGATGGGGTGGGAGACCCCAGCCTTCCTAGGTCAGTCAACCTTAACTGTGACTGGCTTTTATGCCTTTGGGTAAGTTAACTTGTCTTCTTTTTCCTAGTCTATAAAATTTAGATTAAAACAAAACAAAATATATCTTTGATCAAAGATTAGAAACAATATATAAACAGACTGCTTTAAAAAATGATATAATCAGAAAGTGCATTGTACTTACGAACAGAAACTATATTACCTGTTTCTATCAAGACCCAAATAAGGACAAACACACACAAAAAAACAGAGGTTAATTTTGGAGTCCTGGTGTGGTGCTGTAGGATAAGCAGTGGATCTCAAGGTCAGTTTGAACTGCAAGGTTGGCTGTTCAACTTCTCCAGCCACTACTTGGAAACACTATATAGGGTCGCTATGAGTCAGAACTCGGTGGCACTTAACAACAAAAACAACAACATCAAATAAGGATGAATACAAAAGGCAGCGAGTAACTTTTTACCTTCTCCAGAGTCTTCATCCTAATATTAACTTACATTTGCTATTATTTCAGACTCGTGCATACATACTTAGCATGGATCGTTGGCTAGAGAGTTACATACATTTAGCTTTATTGCCACTTGCCTCGTGTATCTCATTAAAACTTTGTTGTCTAATCAAGGATCGTCATGATGTGAATTTTAGAATTCATGGTTCCATGACTTTGAAAGGTTCACGTATTCTGAGTAAGTGTGTTGTCCTCTCTCCATGTCCTTACACACCTCTGCCATTGTCATTTATGGTGACTCACCTTCTACTTTTACTAATTCCTGGTATGTTGTTGTTGTTAGATCCTGTTGAGTGGCTCTGTATGATAAACACAGGACTGCCAACCACAAAGTCAGCAGTTCAAGTCACCAGCTGTTCTTCGGGAGAAAGATGAGGCTTTCTGCTCCTGCAAAGACGTACAGCCCTGGAAACCCTATATAGGGTTGCTGTGAGTTGGAACCGATTCGAAGGCACATAACAACAAAAATAGGATTTCCTAGGCTGTACATCTTTATGGGAGCAGACAGCTTCATCTTTCCCCACAGAGCAGCTGGTTGGTTTGAACTGCTGACCTTGTGGTTAGCAATCCAGTGTATCCTACAGAGCCACCAGTACTGCGTTATTACCTCCTACTCGTGCCTTTAATACCCAATTCAAGAGACACCTCTTCAAGCAGCCCCATGATATCTTGTAATTCTTGCAAAGCTCTCTTTCTGTGTTAGATTTGCCCATTTACTTGCTTGTCAGGCCTATTAAAGTGTAAGCTACTTGTACTCTGGTTCACTATTATATTCTTGGTGTCTACCACTGTATTTGATGTATCATTGGCCTCTCCATAAATGCTGGTTGAATGCAGATTGCTCCCAATGGGACAGAAAGGGAGCAACAAAGCAAGTGATGAATGCTGTCCTGGAGCGATGGCAGCAGCCTTGAGAGAGGAATGTCAGGCCAAGCCACATCAACTCTAATAATAAGGCAGTAACCGGGTACATTTCACGACTCTCTTAAAGCTCTTTCACATGCATTATCTCATTTGGTCCTCATAAAAGCCAGGAGATGAGCATATTACAGGTGAAGTGGTCAGCAGTGCCTCAAGATTCCAAATAGACCTTAAAGCCTCTTTTCTTTTCCTTGAACCCCATAATCAATTTCACATGGTCACCACAGTTTGCACTCTATCACTCCCTGGCTCTGTGGTTTTCTGGATCCCTTCTGTGGTTTATTGACCAGGCCTTGCCTCTTCCCAAGGAAAAGCATTTCATTGACATATTTCTAGATAATTAATTGACTTTGGCTTGGAGGAGAAGGTAGACAGAACTCGAATCTGACTTTTTCCACATCCAGTCATGTGACTAATGAAAGAGCACATGAGTGTGTTCTGAGCAACGTCTGATTATCCAATAAGCAAGGTAAGCATGGGCTTACTTGTGCTTGCTAGTCTGTAATGAACAATTCCGTGTTTTTTTCATCACATCAAAGATTCTGCTTCTAGGCCTGGTTGGCATCTCTCTCTCTCCCAACCCCACAGCACCTTCCTACAGAATCAAAGCCTCTTTTCAAATTTACCACCCCTAACAGGGTCAGTGTATCCAATAAGCAAGGCAAGCACAGGCTGACTTGTGCTTACTTACTAATCTGTAGTGAACAGGTTCACATGTTTCTCATCACTTACATGGAGTCCTGGTGTGGCGCTGTGGGTTAATGCACCAGACTGCAAAGTCATTTGAACTACAAGGTCGGTAGTTCAAGCACACCAGCTGCTCTTCGGAAACCCTATACAGGGTCACTATGGGTTGGGACCAACTTGACTGCACTTCACAACAACAACACTGTGAAATAAGTGAGCAAGCACAAGTAGACCCATGTAAATTTGTTCACAATAGATAAGTAAGCAGGCACAAGTAAGCCTGTGCTTATCCTGCTTAGTTGTGGGAAGCTAACCCCTTGCAACATGTGGTTCTTCTGTTTTTAGACTCGAGAAACACATCCTGCCAGAGAGATGCGGTGTGCAGTCATGTGCCAGCTCCTGTGGCTTTGGGCCTCACTGTCCAGCATTCAAGCTGTGCCCATTAGAAGAATCCAAGATGACACCAAAACCCTCATCAAGACCATTCTCACCAGGATCAGTGACATTTCACACACGGTAGGGACAGTCTTGGAGGATCCCAGGGCCCATGACCTTAAGACATCTCAGCCCAGCACTGGCTCCTGGCAGGGCTGGAACCAGATTACTCAAGAAACATCTATTGTACACCTCCTAAATCTCAGCCCATCTGCCTACTGGGATTCAGGCATGAGCTTGTTGTGGTGGTTGTCTGGTGCCATCGAGTCAGTTCCGACTCACAGCAACCCTATGCACAACAAAACAAAACACTACCCAGTCCTACACCATCCTCACAATTGTTATATTTGAGCCCTGCTACTCTGGTAGTGTAGGGAGCTCTGGTAGCGTAGTGGTTACGAATCGGGCTGTGAACCGCAAGGTCAGCAGTTCGAAACTACCAGCTGCTCCTCGGGAGAAAGATGAGGCTTTCTGTTCCTGTAAAGATTTACAGCCTTGGAAACCCTGTTCAGGGTTGCTATGGGTCGGAAACGACTCGATGGCACTTAACAACAACAAATCTGGTAGCGTAGTGGTTACGAATCGGGCTGCGAACCGCAAGGTCAGCAGTTTGAAACTACCAGCTGCTCCATGGGAGAAAGATGAGACTTTCTGTTCCCGTAAAAATTTACAGCCTCAGAAACCCTGTCCAGGGTCACTATGGGTTGGAACCGACTCGATGGCACTTAACAACAGCAACAATTACTGTGCCCTGGAATCCTGGTGTAGCACTGTGGGTTAATGCGCCGGACTGCAAAGCCGTTTGAACTGCAAGGTTGGCAGTTCAAGCTCACCAGCTGCTCCTTGGAAACCCTATAAAACAGGGTCGCTATGGGTCGGAATCTACTCGACGGCACTTAACAACACTGTGCTAATCCATCTCCTTGGGAGTCTTCCCCTTTTTCGCTACCCTACACTTTACTGAGCATGATAATATGTCCGAAGTATGAGAGACAAAGGACATATTAAGAATTGTTGTTGTTGTTGTTAAGTGTCGTCGAGTCGGTTCCGACCCATAGCGACCCTGCACAGGGTTTCCGAGGGTGAATTATTCTGACTATATGTCCAACACAGATTTGTTGGTTTGTTCTTCTGGCAGGCCTTGGTACTTTTCAATAATCTTGTCCAACACCATAACTCAAATGCACCAATTCTTCTACACTCTTGTTCATTTTTCAACTTTCAATAGCATGAGGCTATTTATTGAAAATACCATGCTTGGGTCAGGTACATTTTAGTTCTCAAGCTGACATCTTAACTTTTGAACACTTTAAAGAGGTCTTATGCTGCAGATTTTCATAGTGCAATAAAAAATTGTCAGATTTTTTGAACTGCTACTTCCATGAGTGTTGATTGTGGATCCAAGCAAAATGAAGTCTCTGACAACTTTAAAATGAGCGGTCCTCCTTTTAAACCACCCAGAAAATGTTGAATTTTGTCTTGTGTTTCCATGAAAAATGACATGACTCTGACATCATGGGTCCAGTACGCATGTGCTTGTTGGCACTCTGAGGTTAGTGGAGGCAGACGCAGAGACACAAGTGGCCTTGATGCTTGATGCTTCATCTTTGACTCTTCTCTCCTCTCCCCTCTGTCTCTTGCCTCCTCACTCCCCTTCTCTCTGACTTCCTTTCCCTAAGTCCTAGTGCCAGGCCTTGTGTTCCTTTGGTGGGGACCAGGTCATCACAGTATCCTCCCTCATTCTCATTATGTGGCCTCCATCCCATTGTCCTTGGCTACTTTTCCTAGTTTTAACTCAACTCTGGCCCTATGAAACTTCCTCACTGCTGCTAGCCACGGTACTTAACAACAACAACAACAACAACAACAACAACATATTTGCAAACAGATGTTGAGTTCTCCACCTCCAATACTTGGTTTTTCTTCTCTGGGGTCAGTCAGCCTAGTCTTTCAATGTTTCCAAGATAAGGTCTATGTTTGGAATTAGGAAGACTAGATGTGAGTCTTCATACTTCTCTTCTCTCTGTGAGATCTTGGACTAGTTTCTCAATGTCTTTAAGTCTTGATCTCCTTATTTAGGTGTTTTTGTTGTTATGTGCCATCGAGTCAGTTCTGTGACGTGTAGCCACCCTGTGTAGGGCTTCCAAGGAGCTTGAAATGCCAACCTTGTGGTTCAAACCAACTTTACAGTCCAGCACATTAACCCACAGCACCACACCAGGAGTCCTCGTCATCTAGGTAATGGGGTACAATATCGTCTTCACAAGGTCTTAGAAGATGTGAGAGAGCCAGAGCGTCCAACTCATGGATGCAGGGTGTGGTTTCTACCCATGAGCAATAAGGGACAGAGAAATGCTCCTAGTGTAGCTAGTGTTGTGGATCAGAGGAGGGAGACCAGGCATTCATGGGATCCCTTAGGAACCAAAAACTGTGGCGAACCAGGCATGGAGACCCTAACTAGGAAGGAGGAGTCTGCAGTGGTGGGAGGGAATAAGGATGGTGTAGGGGTCGGGGGTGGGGAGTCCGGGAATGTATGGAATGGTGCAGTGGGTTAATGCACTGAACTGTAAGGTCAATTTGAACCGCAAGGTCAGCGGTTCAAGATCACCAGCTGCTCCTGGGATACCCTATACCAGGTTGCTGTGGATTGGAACCAACTCACGGGTACTTACCAACAACAATGGATCTAAATGGGAGTCTTGGTGTGGCACAGTAGGATAAGTGCAGGACCACAAGGTAGGTTTGAACCACAAGGCTAGTGATTCAAACCCACCAACTGTTCCTCAGAAATCATATATGGGTTGCTGTGAGTCAGAACTGACTCTATAGCACTTAACAACAACAACAACAACAATTGACCTAAATAAAGGTCCCTGGGTAGTACAAACGCTTTGCCCTTAACTACAAACCTTAAGGTTGATGGTTCAAATTCACCTAGAAAGAAAGTCCACCAATCTGCTTTTGTAAAGACTGTTGTTGTTAAGTGCCATTAAGTCAGTTTCAACTCACAATGACCTTGTATAGAATTTCTGAGGAGTGGCGGGTGAGGTTTAAACTGCCAACCTTGCAATTCTAACTGACCTTGCAGTGTAACGCATTTTCCTGCAGCACCACACCAGGACTCATGGGGCACCATGAGTCGGAACTAACTCTAGGCAATGGATTTGGACCTAAATAAGGGAGTCATGAGGAGTGCTGGTGTGGCACTGTGGGTTAATGTGCTAGACTGCAAAGTCAGTTTGAATTGCAAGGTTGGTGGTTCAAGCTCACCAGTCGCTCCTTGGAAACCCTCTAGAGGGTCGCTATAGGAACTGACTTGACGGCACTTAAAAACAACAAGGGAGTCATGAAGGTTCTTCAGCAGAGACCAATGGGATAAAGAAGGACCCAAGAAGGTTGGCCTGGGAGTGATGGTTTGGAAAGAGTAGGAAGGCAGAGAGAGGTTCAGCGGTCACCTGGGCTTAACAGCTCAAGATCTGGCCCCACAAGCAAGGAGAAGGTGCCATGGGGAAAGTGACTCTCCACCTTATGGGAAAGGCCAGAGAGACCCACAGAATTGGCTTCTCCCCTCCTTGCTGAGCTCTCACCCCTCTCTTCCTTCTGCACAGCAGTCCGTCTCCTCCAAACAGAGGGTCACCGGCTTAGACTTCATTCCTGGATTCCACGCTGTATTGAGCTTATCTAAGATGGACCAGACATTGGCGATCTACCAGCAGATCCTCACCAGACTGCCTTCCAGAAATGTGATCCAAATAGCCAACGACCTGGAGAACCTCCGGGACCTTCTCGAACTGTTGGCTGAATTCAAGAACTGCCCCTTCTCTAGGGCCAGTGGCCTAGAGACCTTGGAGAGCTTGGGCGGTGTCTTGGAGGCCTCACTCTACTCCACAGAGGTGGTGGCACTGAGCCGGCTGCAGGGGTCTCTACAGGACATGCTTCTGCAACTGGACCTCAGCTCTGGGTGCTGAAGCACTGCTGCCAGCCTCTCTTCTCCCCAAGGACCGGCACCAAGGGGAGAAGCTCTGGCTCTCAGGTGTCTCCAGGAGAAGTGAGCTTGTGTGGACATCCCTGATCTAGGATTCTAGTCCATCTCTCTCACTCCTCCAAACCCTGACAAAGGCATAAAAACTCAAGGTATGTCACTTGAAATCAAAGCTCTATATACATGATTCCATGCTCGCTGGGAAGGGGGCCCATCAGGGAAGCATGGACTCTCTGTGTTTCTCACCATCTTCACTCACCGCAAGGAGTCATCCTGCCCCCTTCTGTCATCTCTTCTCCCACTGCTTCAGTGTGACCCAGGAGATTGCAGAGGGGGGCCCAGGAACTTCTGGGCAGCTGGAGCAAGGTTCCATTGGAGTATTCTGGGGAGCACCCTCTGAAAACTCCCAAGCAGCACAAGTTGGAAGCACATTTTTAAAATTTATTATGCATTTTATTCTGGATGAGATAGGACCAAGGCTCTCTGGAGTGCTGTTTTCAAGCCCATCGATGGGTCAGGCAAAGGCAAACCCATGTCAAGTGACTTAAAGGTTGGGATCTTCCAAGCAAGAGCCAGCCAAGGTGGCACTCAAGTGTTTTTGTTTCTACTGTGACTGATTCTCAAGTGCTCGCAATGGCATTGCCTTGGATGGATCTCTAAGGCCAGGTTGTTTTTAAAAAGAGAAGATGATGTTTGTTGCGTGTGATATACAGCTGGTACATGGGGCAGAGGATGTGTTTTCTGCGTGTTTGTGCAGCGGGCTCTCGGGATGGGGTGAGGGCAGTTGCTCATCTGCTCCACACAGAGAATGGTTTACATGTAAATGACAAGGGAGGTAACACTTCCAAGGGGGTGCGGCACTTCCCCAGGTGGCAGAGTGGACACAGAGGCCATCTGTGGGGGCCGTGGTGAGCCCTGGCCTTTTCTGACTACCAGCAAGAGTGAGTGGTCTTTTTTATCAGGGAGTGAGGGTCCCACACTCAAGACCGCTAGTGGTCCCCAGAGCTGGTCATAATGCAGCCCTGTGAATGGTCATGTTAGAGCCACATTGGGGTTAGACATGGCGGTGTCCCAGTTGGGCTTTGCATGCCATATTTTGGTTCTCATAGAATTGGCTCATCCAAAGCACGGCCATGTTTCCCACCCATTCTGGATGGATGTGGATCGAAGGAGACATACATAGTGTGTGGTTTGGAGCCTGGACCACCTAGTGGGCCACCTGGATCATTGTCCCACCTCAGGGTTGTATCTAGAGGGGTGAAAAGGAAGCATGAGTTTTTCCACCATCCACAGTGATTTAGCTGTCACATGGGAGGTGGAGTTTTCCAAAGAAATTTGAATCAAAGCAATAAACTTTGACTGAGCACATCCAGTGTGCTCATCCCTGACTGGTGCTATGGGTGACAGAAGCTCACAGAATCGTCCTGAAGAACCGGTGCTGCCCTCAGGGCCTTTGCACTGCCCACAGTAAAGTCCACCTCATTGGTGTGCAAACGCTGGAGGCCCTGGGAACACAGTGCCCTCATTGGCAGGCGGGAGAGGGTAGCAACTGAGAGAAGCAGTTCCCAGGGGCCCACACACCAACCCCACTTGTGCATTTTTTAGCACTTTTACTTCCTAAGGCATGTTCGAATCCCCTTGAAGCCAGATAACTAAGAATATAAGCATAAGAAAACACCAAAGACTATAACAGCCCACAGGGGGCAAAAGCAGAAATAAAATCCAGGTCCTCTGACACCCCCTGACCCCCGCTCCGTTCTCCCCCCTCAAATGCTCGCTAGTGGCACAAACAGGAGTGTTTTCTGGAAGGGAGGAATTCTGAGGTAGATTTTGAAGGAGGTAAGGATTGTGAATCACCTGGAGGTAGGAGACTGTTTTGTTGGAAACTTTGGTGTGTAGACACAAACATACTCACTTACTTTTACAAGTGTGAGGAGTGACTAACAGAGATAGGAGAGGTAAGAGGGGAGGGGGATGTTGAAGGGGATTTTAGGGCCTAAGAAGTTAGATATTGAAAGAATGTGGAGTGGGAAGTTTAAAAATAGAGACTCGTGTAACAGACAGGGTTGGCCTGCTCTGGCAAACATAATATAGATTGTGGCTACCTAGTTTGGCTGTTTTAAACTTTTCTGTCACAAAACCTGCAACTATGGACCATTCTCATGATGTGTAACTTCCCAAATGTAAGTGGTTGTCTCTTTTTGTAATTTAAGAAATATATAT